GTCTATCGGCCTACGCCTATTGCCTACCACTACGACGAGGACCAGTCCATTATGGTTACCTGCTAGAGTGTTCTACTCGGTTACAGTAGTCAATAACCACTTTGCTACTTCGAACAAATATATCCCTTTCCGGGACATATCACAAACAAAAACAGTTTTACAATTGATGACTGAACATTTGTTATGTATCATATAAACATAGAACATAAAATATGAAAACGTCTATATTTTGAAAATAATAAACGAGCAGCAATTTTAATTGGCATATATGAATTCAGCTCGTCAAAATGAATCACAAACAACATTTGAAAGTTTATTGATCATTGATTATCATTGCTCCCATCAAATTTCCCGATTAACTTTAATCATTTCCTGATTAATAAACATTTCGTTAAAGACGGCGAAAAAGTAATGGTTAGGTACTGAATTTTCCAACTTTTGACTTTAAATTTTGTTTTCAAAAATGTCAATTGTTAGAAATTTAAATCACTACTAACAAAATGAGGATATTACCGGTATAATGCTCCCGGATATGCTTTGTTGAACAATATTGACAAGGTGCTTTTGTTAAATTTTTTTATTATATTTTTCTTGTATGCGCGAAGTGTTTTCTTTTCTTGACTCAGTGATTGTCGAAAATGTACAAATGCAACCGAAATTTGACCCACTCAAAGAAAACAAATTCAAATCTTAAACTAGTTAATACCCAATTTGAAGCTTATAAACTAATTAACATTCAACCAAATTTGAAAGATCTAAAAGGCAGAAGGAATTAAAAGCCGCATTTTCCGTATAAAGTACAACTGTATATTAATAAGCAAAAAAGGACAAAACAAAAAGAAAAAAATCCCAATATTGTCAATAGACGAGCTTATAAAGTTAACAGGCTCTTCTAAATAAGCATTATTTCTAAATAAGCATGACTACTACAAGAATGTACAAACCATCATTGACGACCTAAATTAAAATTTACAAAATTAAATCTAAAAAAACCCCCCAAAAAAAACAAAAAAAACCCTCCAATAAAATCATTTCATCACATAATGCTGAAGTAGGAATCCATTTTGATTAACAAAAATCCCGGATGCTACCAACCAGGATAGCGAGATTTATACGGAAATGTAAAAATACTAACCGACACTCACTTTGACCAACGATTTTAACTCTTATTTAGTATCATCAAAACTCGTCAATGATATCATCTACCCACAAAATATAGTATTACATCCACCCATCAATTCCTCCAGATTCTTAACACAAAAACAGCAAACCGAAGCATTTTAGCATCACTCGATGTAGATAATCTGGGACGTTCGTGAATAGGTTATTTGCAACTGTGCCTACGCAGATGACAATTCCCCCCACTCTTCTATGTATCAAACATAATATAATATTCTAAAACTCTATATTTATTCGTTCTCTTCCCCAAAAGGATGATGGTATGCAGAAAAATAAGAGCCTATTCTAAAAATCTACTACATGCATACACAACCGAGTCCTCTTTTATTTATATATATAAAAAAAAACAGCCCTTAATAACATCAAATTATTAACACGGACATAATGTACTGGCCGTGTTTGGGGAATAGGAATATTTCAGTAACATTTATACTGTCTACAATGAGACTTAGATGCCATTTATTGTAACTGCATAACTAAAATCCTTGAAAACAGCTAACAGACCGTCCGAAATCAGACATTCAGGGCAATTTAAACACTCATTAAATCCCGAAAAGTAAACAATTTAAAAAAATCAAAAAATATAAGTACTTTGTCAGTTTTGTTTAATAAAACATGTATTAAAGAGGGGGTGCTACCCAAACATACAACGATATATTTGTGCGTATACTCATGATTTTTTTTTAAGGGTAAGCACAGAGTTTCTTTCCATTAGCAAAACAAATTCAACACAAATTCTCATTTAGTCTACTTCCACGCCATGTAAAAAAAATTAATATGGAAAATAATTCTGTCAGCAACTCATAACTTGATGACAAACATGAAAAAAGTTATTTCAGATTCAAGGCGAAAAGTTCAGAAAATCCGTTTTCATCAGAAAGAAAAATAACAGATAAAATAAAAATGTGCGATTTAAAAAGCGACTCATTTGTAAAAAAAAAAAAAAAAGAGATCATGAAAGACAATTGAAGATGACGAATGATATCTAATTTCAGAAATATAAAAAAAGAATCGATTAATTTTAATTTAATCTATTTTGAACGTCATCATCAATAACTATCCTATCAGTTTCGAATCAGTTACTAATGGAGTCACGTGTGTCTAAAATCCTACTAGTTTCAAAGAGAACTATTCAGCTGCTGAGAAAAACACTCTTTTAGTAATAAAAAAAGAAATAGCTTGACTCCTAAAAATCTCCAACACGATTTGCTTGTAATTTGGCTCCTGTTTCCAATCTTTCACCCAAAGCAAACAAATCTTCAAACTTGCGTTCTTCCAAAGCAAACTCGCTTTAGAGATTTACACTGTAAAGCCAATTATTAAAGCCTAGTCCGGCACAAGGTGAAGTCGAGGAAACGAACAGAGAAAGATGGGGCTCTGCTAGTCTTCTAAGTAGAGAGGACTTTACCACAATCAACAGTTAAAAATTTGCTTTTTTTTCATCTTGTACACCGATCACTAGTGCTGGTTTATATGTATTTATAATTTATCTCAACCCAGAACAGACAGAGATTTGCCGAATTTAGCTTAAGAGAAATCCCAACGAGGATTGACCTCACTAGCAATAGCCAGTTTAGTTTGCTCTGTTAACTCTTTCCACGACAGTTGGCCTTATTGGCTGGTCGGTTATGAGGTCCAAATTATAATTTGGGCTCTCCTTTTTATGAGAAGAGAATTATTACAGCTGAAATATTTCAAAGTTCAGAAGTTTTAGTCAAATTTGATGTTTTTGAGAATATCTTTTTTAAATCATAAATATATGAGCATCAGATTTTCAAATTAATTATCATCGAGATATTTATAAAAAGATAATTTTTATTTGTAAACTAAATTAATGCGTAATTTCAAGCGCTGAAAACTTGATCCTTGATAGGCGCTTGAAATGACGATTTGTGGAAAGGAGAAAATATTGTTTATTTGTGACGATTTCAGAGTTTATGAAGAATAATATAACATTAAAAAAAAAGAGAGAAGGAGAGAGTAAGGAATAAATAGCAAGACGGTAGTGATCATTTATTCCGAGGACATTTTTTCGAGAGAGAATTATTACAAAATCTGCGCCCATTTTCTTACCTTAGTCTGGCATAGGGCCACAATAATGGAGCACTCATAAGGATTGATCTTAAACTACTAGTGGATAATCTGCGTGTGCTAAACAATACTTTATAGGCAGCGTACATAAATTGTTTATGGTGTGTGTGTATGGGGGGGAGGTGAATTCTTTTAACTTTGTTGATAAAGGAAAAAGATCATAACAAAATTAGGGAAAAGACATTCAGAATAAAATTAGTTCATTTCATTTTTATTTTTGGGTAAATGCAAAAAAAAAAAAAAAAAAAAAATCTTCATCTCTCCACTTGTCACTCCTAACAGAAAAAACATCTGTTCTTCTAGTTAAGGAAAAATATCAGTTATTGCCTTCCAAAGAAAAAAAAAAGTTTCCTCTCTATGTTTCTTGATGTCATATCTCTAATAAAGAAAGAGAGCAAATGTAATTCAATACGGCTTTGAAATAAAGTTTTGGCTTCAAGTTCATATAAACGGGTAGAGAAGAAGGAGCGTCAAAACTTCTCGCCGTCCACCTACACAATTCAGAACTTCATCTGACTATGAGTTTGCATTACATTGAGGATTGTCAAATTTTGGTACTGGAATGGTGGGATGTAAGCGACTGACAGCCATAAAAAAAAAATTAATTTATCTAAATGACAATTTCTAATGAATATAAGATAACAAAAAGTAAACCGAAAGTATTTTTGTTTATAAGTCCCGATTCACTTGCCTGCTTGTCCTGAAAAGTCAGCATTCAAAATCCAGACATTTACTTGGGTTCTAACACCGAGCGCCAAAAAATAAACAACTGTTTCAGCCACCAAGCACATCAATACATATAGATTCTTAAAGAGAGTGAATGAATTGATGAAGTAAAAAGAGAAACGAATACGCAAGATTCGATCCAGAAACCTCAAGTGAAAAATTCATTAACAGGGATTTTTTTTCTGCAACTTAATTTACTTAAAAATGTTTTAGCAAACAGATTGAAGAGTTTTCTTTCTTAAACCAAGGATGCATCTTGGCTCCAGAAATGGAGGGGGGAACGATTTGGTTAACGGTTAACCAATTTCTTGACTGGATTAGCAACAACCAAGTCCGTCATTGAAGTAATCGCTATTTTGTTTAAACCACTGGCGTGTGTATTCCCCATATAGTCGTACATATTTTTAAGTTTAAATATGACTAATGAGAATGATATGTAAATTTTTATATATCAAGAACAATATTTGGGTGGGGGGGTATATATGACAAAGTAGAAAAAGTTATGTGACGCGTTTCGTCCTTTAGGACATCATCGGAGTAAATTAGTTACATCGGCGCGATTTCACATAAGGATGAAAACGTCACACGATAACTTCCCCCCCCCCACTTGGTCATACACCCCCCTCCCCGAAAAAACTGGCTAATAAAAGATTTATAAAGAAACTTTTTTTAAATGTCCGTGTTTTGATATTCCGTTTAGGAGAAAATCAATTGAACTGAACCAAAAAAAAAAAAAAAAAAAAAAAAAAAAACGTAGCTGTCTGCTTAAAATGTTTAAATAAAAAAAATGTTGATAATGTTGAATATGGAGACGCGTTGAATAAAAACATTAAAAAAATTCTAGAAGTTTTAAATAATGAAAGAAACTTTAAAAGTTTGACGAGAAACGAAAAAAACAAAAAAAACCCAGAAGTAATCTCAGAAAATTATTAATAGAAAATAATCGGGATCAGCATGCAGATTAGTGGCAAAGAATAACGAAAAAGAAAAAGGCACTTTCCTACCAGAATACAGCGGAAATAATCCTTAGGGAGAAAAAGTTTTCTGATTCTTCCGAGGAGACGATGTTATCCTTACTAGTCAGCCAACGCGCTGTTGCTATTGTGCAATGTGCACGCAGCTGTCACAAAGAACACGTCGTTATCAAGATGGTCGGCGCTGACTAATCACTAGTTGAAGTACATAACAGTTCAACGGCTTAGGATTGAAAAAAAACTGCTGTTACCTCTTCTTATTCATATCTTATTCATTCAATCAAGCGTAGAGAAAATATTTTAACTAGTTTATACAGAAGAAAGGATATGTCGGTCATATTATCTTTTCTGTAATGAATTGTAACTGGGAGAAAAAAACTTTCAGTCATCCAATTCGTGTGTGTGAAAAGGAAAAAAGAAAGAAAAAAAGAATGACGACAACGACCAATGGGATCTGTGCTATTTCTTCAGTTTAAGTTTACGTTAAGAATTAATGCCCTAAAATTCCTATTCACCCTTTTTACAGTAAAATAAAGAATTTCGCATAATATTATTTATGCAAAATATCCGGGACATGGGAAGGCATTGACGTAAGCTGTTTTTTTACGACGGACGCACGCACGCACGCACGCACGCACGCACGCACGCACGCAATTTTTTAATTTTTCAAAAATATAAGGGCGAAAGAAAAAAAAACAAAACAAAAAAAACTATTTTAACTCAATTCCCATTAAATATAAATTCATATTTCAACATACATTTCAAAAATTAAGTTTGAAACAAAACGAAATCGTTTGTTGTTAAAAAAAGTGTAACATTTGGAAAATTTCATTAAATTTTAGAATATCTTAGTTTAACATGTTCAAGGTTTCTACATGTTTTCTCTACTAACCCTCCACCCGCAAAAAAAAAAAAACTTAAAAATTAGAAAAATGTATAAACATTTGCCTTTCAAATTCTTTCTAGAAAATCAAATTGATGTTTTTTTTTGTTAATTTCGAAAAGTAAGTGAAAGTAAAATTAATTCTTGTATAGATTGCATTGATAACAAGTTAGAAAAAGCTCTCCTGCACATGGCAACATATATGAGAAGCAAATCATTAATGAGCACATCAAATTAATTTATTAATCAGTGCAATACGATATGCACTCACAAAAAAAAAAAAAAAAAAGAAGACCAAAAGGATTGGTGAGTTAAAATAGGGGGTGGGGGAGAAAAAAAAAGGACACACGCTCTCAAAAAAACAAACAAAAACACTTGAAAACTTGAAAGAGTTCCACTCCTCTTGGGAGATGGATCCACTTTGACATTTTAGAGAATTCTGGACTCATCTGATCATTTCATTGACCAATCCTCCGATTGTTAAAACAATAAGTGTCGGTGTTGGATATATTTATTTTCAGATGATTGAGTAAACCAAGAAATGTGAATATCAAGTTTGAACAGAAGAGTAGATTTTATTTTATTGGTTTCAAAAGCCAAACGCTTTCTTTTGACAGATGAGACAACAATCGATTCAAACGTGTGTGTGTGAGAGAGAGAGGTGGAGTCATTTGTTTAATCTCTACATTTATTGCGTAAACATACAACAATTGTGGCCAAAATGATTTTCTTAGCGGAGCTTAGATGTGGCACAAGGCCGAAAGTATGGGGCACCCGGGGATGATCGAATTCACTATTCAGTCGTAACTGACATAACGAGACAAGGTTGCTCTAACCATTACACCACGTCGTAGTGTCCGGTCATTTGTTTAAATCTCTGGACATGTTTGAAACTTTATGAAGTCACAATATGCCAGTAACTGAAAATACTTTCCGCTGATAAAGACATTTTGCAGTTACATGTGACAAAAATGATACGACTGTAATGAACTGAGCTTGCATTTCGAAATATTTCCATAGAGTCTATGGGATGGCATAGACACATGTATGTAGCCAGGTAGAAAATCTTAAAGCAGGTTTTATTTACATTCGAACTAATGTCCTCATCTTTGTTGTTATTAGCATAACGTTTCGGTCAATGGACTTCTTCAGGTCCATATCGATCCAGGTAACCTTCCAGAAATTTCGAACTGAACCCTTTATTTAAATAAAGGGTTCAGTTCGAAATTTCTACGGGAGTAGACTGTTCTCATTTCGATGTCATATATCTAGGGGAGATAACTCATCTTATTCTTGCTTGTCCTGTTTCCACTGAGTTCAACTCTATACTAATTCGATCCAAGAATTGAACTCGTAATTACTATGCAGCAATAATAATTAATTAGCAATAAGAAATTAGAAATAATTAATTAAGAAATTAGAAATAATTAATTAGCAAGACAAGATATCTCTAGATGTGAAAAGCGCAACGAGAACAATTTATACCCGTAAATTAAATACAGGGATCAGTTCAAAATTTTTCTGAAGTTTAAATCCAATCCAGTCGATAGACTTCTGGAGAAGGCCAGAAGTAGAGGGGCCATAATTAATCATAATAAAAAAAACAAAGATGAGGACATTTCTCCGAATGCAAATAACTCATAACTCTCCATCCCAGAATTTTTCAGACACAAATAGGTTTTACTGAAGATGATAGATAAGTTATACCTATTAGAATTTTTTTAAAAAGATTATTTGAAATAAATTTTTCATATTGACGGATTAGTTACCGTATCTGATTTTTTTGTTGTACAAGAATTGTCCGTACTACATGTCAGTACTTGGGCACCCTGAGGCGGTGTAATGGTTAGTAAGCTTGTCTCGCTAGCACAATTACGAATGAGTAGTGAGTTCGATCCTCACTGGGTGCCCCATACTTTCAGCCTTGTGCCACATCTAAGCTACGCTTGGAAAATCGCTACTACATGTTAGTACTTTGTAATATTCCGAAATTTCGACTGACTTATTTTGATTCACATATACTACAATGACTAGCTTTATAATAAACAAATTTCGGTACCGCCACATAAAACGCGATACCTAAGGTTTAAAATGAAATTTAAAAAATGAAAAATCTTTCTTGGTGCTTTTATTTTATTTTTAATTTCATTCTAATAGATTAAATTTAATATTTCCAATAAGCAAAATACTTTGGTGTGTGGTGATCACTTACATGTGCCACACCTCCGCTTTCTTTAATGTCATTGGTTCATAAATATATGATACTTATTATATGACAATTTTGCCATCGCACGTAATTTTAAATTTTCTCTAAAATCACGGATTGGTCCATTTCCTGACCAATCGCGTATTTTAGTATCTTTCTATATTTTTGGCGCTAAGCTCGCTGGAGCCTATGCATCGTTATATAAACCCTCTCGCTGTTAGCCAACAGCCAGTAGCAGTTCAATTCTTGGAAAATAAGGCACGGCGCTATATTGACATTTTAATTCTTAATTATTACTCATTCGAGTAATCATACTAATTCTCATTAATATCACTCATGAACATTACATCTTTCTACACTGATAAAACACTGTGGAACTATTCTTTAGCTAAGACTTCAATTGAACTTTGTAGTTAAATAACATTCAATATTGTACTCAACATTAATTAGCTAAATTTACCCTTTTTATTACGGAAAAAGTGAAGCAACTTTCTTTATTATTGTTGATATTTGTATATCATTGTTAATACAATATTTTATTAATGTTCACTGAGCTTGATTATTTTTCTCTCGTGTTTGTTGTGCATTATTCATGTGGGGTGTTGTTTTACAAGAACACAGCCTTCTTTAATCTTGATTATATTCAAGGTAACCCTAGCCAACAATTCTTACAGCACCACTACATTTGGTAACCCCGACGTGTCAACTACATTTGGTAACCCCGACGTACCTACAACTACATTTGGTAACCCCGACATACCTACAACTACATTTGGTAACCCCGACGTGCCAACTACATTTGGTAACCCCGACGTACGTACAACTACATTTGGTAACTCCGACGTTCGTCGTAGGACCATACCTACAACCACATTTGGACGACTCACCGATCTAGTTTATCGAGAGATATTACTTCGCGCTGAAACACCACGTGCTTACTCATAATGGCTGAACAGTCTGCACAAGAGACAGCCGTCGTGCTGACCCTCCCAACTTTTGATATGACTAATGTAAACGTGTGGTTCGCCCAGACTGAGGCCATATTCCAAGCAAAGCATATTCACTCTCAGACTGCGCGTTACGCGTACATAGTCGAGAAGCTGCCACCAGAGATCGCTGCTGACGTGCTAGACCTTTTAGAAGCCGTTCCCGCTCATAACCCCTTTCATATACTAAAGGAAGCCATCATCTACCGTACTGGAAAATCGCATGAGCGCAGGTTGCACGATCTATTTAATACAGCACCACTACAGGTGTATTTCAAAAACTAATTTAAATTGACTGGAAATAATTTCTTTTTTTTGCTAAATTAGCTGATTAGCGCCATTTCAGGCCATCTTTCATCGCAGTGTAATCCTCTTTATTAAAAAATCTCTAAATATAAAATATTTTTTTCTGAAACTTTATTTGAAGAATATTAGTAAATTTAAAGTTTAATTAATCTGATTTGAAACAAATATTATTTATTTAAGTTTAAAATATAGCAGAAATGCATTTTTAACAACGCTGTTTGCTGTTTATTTAAGGTGTCGAGAGCTTGAATGAGAGACAGAAGTTTATCTAATTTTTTCTTATTTGAGTAATATAACGTGGGCACCTTTTTTTTATATTAACTTACATCTATCCAATAATCTTAAAAGTTAAGAAAAGTATTCTTCGTAATTTAATATTTTATTGAATTTTAGGTATTTGGCTTTAAATCTACTACAGAAATCGATATTATTTTCTGATAATGTCGTGTTTGAGCGTCCGTTCATCCAAAAATTGGCATGTTTATACACATACAAAAAAAAAAAAAATTCAAAATCTTTTAAAAAATATTGATGTTTGATGATTTATACTAAGCGTTTTCATTTATGATTAATAAATATAGTTTTGATGTAAAGAATATGCATACATCTGGGTTCCCCCTCACAGTAATATGATTGGCTGGTGTCAGCCATAAATACAGACTGATGTGGAAGCTCAGGACTACGTATCTTGACGACGCCTATGGTCTTCGCCTATTGCCTACCACTATGACGAGGACCAGTCCATTACGGTTTCCTGCTAGATTGTCCTACTCGGTTACAGTAGTCCAAAACAACTTTGCTACTTCGAACAAATATCCCTTTCCGGGACATATAAAGTTTTTACTTAATGACAATATCATCTAAAGAATCAAAATAATGCAAAAATTTAAAAGATTTGAAATTTTATAAATTATTCTAATTAAAATTAAAAAAAATGAAAACAATTCTTGTAAAAATTCATTATTCATCGAAAAAATTTTTGTTCTTAAGACAATGGTGTCCATAATATATTCATAAAAGCCATTAAACGCTTTTCTATTTAAATAATGTCTTAGTTTTATTGCACTTTTTATTTAACGATTCAGAGTAGCTTTTCTGTAACTGTTTTTTTTTGTTTTACAAAAAGAAATTGATAATTTAAATTTCCTAAAGAATTCTACATTTAATATAAACATTAAGCTGGTAAAAATTTAGTTTCTCAAAATTTCTTAAAATTAGATAAGGGTCCGGTAACATGTAAAAAAATATTTTTACCAAGGTTTTATAAAAAAAACGTTTCTAAAATAATTTGATTCATTTGTGAATAAGTCCTGAAAGTTTCATTAAAATCCGACAATCATTTGAGTTTTGCAAGAATTTCCAATTGAATGTGTTTTCACCGCAAAAAAGAGGCTAAAATTTCCTATATTAATCTGTGATTTCTCCCTTCCGACGCAAGAAAAACAAGATTTTTAACCAAAATTTAGAACGTGCTAAAAAGGATTAAAAATATAAATTAATAATTAAAAAATCTTTTGGTATTTCCTCTTAATGATAACATAAAGATTTTGACGATAAATCTTTGTTTTTATCAGATTTGGAGCATTTTTTCATCATAGTATGCGCTTTTGTTCAACGAATTAGTAGAGGTAGCTAATTCAATTCATGGATTAGTTATGTGGGTCACGAAGAGCGTGAAACATGTTTAAACTTGACTCACTGAAAATATTTTAGCTTTTTTCATTTACTTTCTCAAATTTCCTTGTTATCATTACATTACACCTCACCTTACGTCGTCAATTGGTTCCAGAGGTCACGACTTAGGTCGAAGAACGACTTAAGTCGAAATAACCACACTAAAAACGCAAATAAGCACTCCACATTGCATATTACAGTATTTATGATATGTACGTACAGGGTTCTGAATAAAATAATTTATCTGCAACAGTAAACAATCGTCGATAGAGTTGTCCGACTCATTTCAAAAGATCGAGCAATCTATATAATCTATTCATCTTTTTCATGGCGTTTTATCATAGTCCAGCGTTATAGCATAGCTCTTAGTATTTGCACTAGGAATTTTCTTAGGAGCCATTGGGGAAAAATATCAAGTCACAAATGAATGAGAATGAGAGAGTGGGCGATAAGCAGACGTATACCGTGCGCATGCCTAAACTAAACTGGATTTCAATTTCGCGGGAATCACGAGTGGCGCTGACAACGACGCGAAACGGTAGATATTGGAACTACTGTGGAAAACGCCAATATTGAACTGTTAAAGACCGCTAAATAAGACGACAGCACAGATGTTTTCCTTCTCTAGTATTTATGATGATTATATTAACATTTATTGTAAATGTACGTCTTTTAATACGATTTTATATACTTTTATTCTTATTTATTGTACACTAACATGATTTTATGTGCTTTTAACGTTTTTCTAATGATATTACGATTTCATTATTTGTGACGGACAGACGTAATAAAGTCGAATAAAACGACTTAAACTTGATTTTAATTTTTCCATATATTTGACAAAGGACGTATAATCGAGAACGATTTAACTCGAAACGATGTAACCCGAGGTATATCTGTAATAAGTCAATTTCACTTTTTAAACATTCTTATTAATTGATGTTTGCTTAGCAAGGTAACCCATGATTTAAATGTATATACATTTTTGGTAAGAGCCAGTTAATGTTTCATCCTAGTTTTACCATATCTATAAAAGAATTTCTGGTTCTTTGTTCGTCACGCATGCGCCTATGTAATGTGTGTGCGTGTATATCTGGATTGTGCATCAGTGACTTTCATGTGCTTGTGTTATCTAACACACACACACACACACACACACACACACACACACACACACACACACAATTTGACCGAGTTTGAAATAAGACATTGGAATAATTACGTTCCTCTCCCACTTAGTGTGGATAACCCGTATCCACGCTTGAGCAATAAAATCATAGCAAAAGAAAGAAAAGAAAACTTCCTGCATGTGAACTCGTCTGTATGGCTGTGAAATAAAATAAAAATATTTTATTTCTTTTGCATATATTCAGAGCTCTAGTATCTATCGATAATTATTTCAATCTATTTATGTCTATCTATATTAGTATATTTAATTTATATCTATCATCTCATATCAATATCAGTACATTGTAGGTATCTCCACAGACTTGCCAAAAATGATAAAAGCATCATGAAAAATGCGCCAGACTTAATAAAAACAAAGTTTTATCCACAAAATATTTATGATATTAGTAAGAAGAAAGACCAAAGTATTTTTTGATTATTCAATCTTTTTTATTCTTTTTAGAACGCTAGAAATTTTGGTTAAAAATTTTATTTTAGGTCAAAGATTAATATATGAAATTATACGGTCTTTTTTGAGCTGAAAAAACACATTGATTTGGAAATTCTTGCAAAAATCAAATAATTGTCGGATTTTAATGAAACTTTCAGAACTTATTCACAAAAATGAATGAAATTATTTTAGAACTCTTTCCTTTTTAGAAATTCATCTGTTACCCCCCCATTATTTAATTATTGAAATTTCAAGAAATTAATTTTTGTACGGTTTATTGTTTATATCAGTTGTAGGTAGAAGTCCTGGGAAAATTCAAATCATCATTGTTTTTGTAAAACAGGACCCCCAGGTACCGAAAATCTGCTCTGAATCTTAAAATAATAAAAAAAAAAAATGAAATAAAACTAAGACATTATTTAATTAGAAAAGCTTTTGTGAGTCAAATATTTGCAGTATTGATGCATTTATATTATCTTAAGAAAATTTTTTATTGATGAATAATGAATTTTTACAAGAATTGTTTTCATTTTTATTTAATTCTAATTGTGATAATTTATAAAGTTTTAAATTTTGTAGAATTCTGTCTTTACAGAGCTTAGATGATATTGTCATTAAGTAAAAACTATATTTACGAATGATGACGGATGGCTAAAAATGGTGCTAAAATCAGCGATTTTAGCAATTTCAAAACGAAAGATCTCTCCAGTCAATTTAAATTAGTCTTGAAATACAGAAAAGGTATTTTGATTATTGGAAATATTAAATTTAATCCATTAGCTTGAAATTAATACTAAAATAAAAGTTTCAAGAAAGATTTTTCATTTAAAAAAATAATTTTAGGCATCAGGTATCGCGCGTCTGTAGCGGTATATCTCTCTCTCTCTCTCTCTCTCTCTCTCTCTCTCTCTCTATATATATATATATATATATATATATATATATATGTGTGTGTATGTATGTGTACACATAGATATGTATATATGCATGTATGTATTATATGATATGAGAAAGATGGAAAGGGAAGAGTACTATAAATGAAATATCTTTTGTATAGTGACGGTTTGCAGATTATTATGCTATAGTTCGGGAGTTAGATCCTCACCGAAATCTACCCCAAAGTGACGTTGTATCAGTCTAGACTAAACTTTGCAAAAATTATATATCTCAAATATATATTCTATACACTATTTGGGGAATAACAGATTTAGGCTTTTGCCGCTTGTACAAACATGAGGAGACAATGAAGAATGTTTTAAGCAAAGAAAGCTGAGTC